GTTTAATTCACGTGTAACCTATCTGATTATAGAGTTTATCTTTTAATAATAAGTTCACAAAGAATAATAGCAATATGGAATTAACTATTTAAAAAATCGAAATGTTTATTCTAAATCTTTAAATTTCTAGCGGAGGAGGGGGACTAAAATCTCGAAATATGTTTAGACAATTTGTAAGAAATCTTTAATTTGTTCTTTGTTCTGTTTTACACAATTTCATAAGAGAGAGAAAAAAAAAAGTTAATCTTAAAATACATAATTCTTTTATTCTTTCCGTGTAGAAGTTAAGTCAATTAAAAAGAACGGAAATTATCGAGGATGCATTTTTGATATTTCATTTTCTCTTTTCTGTTGCATATCCTCTTTCTGTTTTGTAGGTGAGACATGTGGTAGAGCAATAAAATATTGAAATGATTATGCATAATGCTAATAGCTTTTGTAAAGCATTGTTTTACAACCATTTCATGTAAATTGCTCCACTCGGTTTTTCTTTAAATAAACGTTTTGTCTACTCACGATCATTCAAAAGGTTTTTAAGATGGGAGAGAGTTTTTAAGAAGGTTTTTAAGATGGGGTTTTAAGACGTAGCGTAATTTATCCATTATCACAACTGTACGACAGCACAAGTGATGAAATATTAGGTACACCAGGTAAGCTACAGAAAAATGTCAGTTATTTTTTCCAGTCGGAGGGGGGGGGGAATTTTTTCTCGGGAAAGAATATCTTGCAGTTTTTTTTATTAATCACTGCAATTAAAAAATAAAGTGTTTAAAAATAATTTTTTTTGTTCTAAATTCATCTCAAAAGGGAGAAGAAAAAGAAGGAAACAGCAATCTGATTTTTTAACAATTGGTTTATGAGAAACTTTTGAATTCGTTTTAACTATCAACTAATGATTACCACAGTGTATGTGGCACATATAAGGGAATTTAACGGACATTCAAATACTGTCACAGTACACATTTAAAGAAAAAAAACGATCTTGAGTTAAAATGTAATTGCGATTTTTCTTTTATACATATTATTCTTATTAGCATTTTTATTGGCTCGTAACTCAGCGGTTGACCTGCACTTACGTTGCACTTAGAAACAAGGAAGTTACAACATCAAACCTTCCAAGAAGGCAAACAAATTTTCAACTTCCTAGGACTTGGAATGATTTATCGGCACTACATATGTACTATTTAAGATGAGAAAAGAAAAGTAAAATAACTAGGAAAATGCTACATTACTGTTACCCTGCAGGTACAGCTTGTACTTGCAACACCAACACTTTGAAGATACAGTAAACTGCTGATAAGGAAATACGAGCATAAATTTGTTTGAAATATGACTCAGTTTACGTCTATAAGTTTTACAGCATACGGCTTTTCTGGTCTCTTGCGAAACAATTTATAGCGCAATAAACATTTGTTTTGCAGAAAAAACATTTCGTTGCTTTAAAATGAAATGATCTGCCGACTTTCAGTTACAATTAGTTTAGTGGTACCAGCTATTCTTAAACTATTCTGTTGCCTTGTTATTCTTCTATTTTAATGTCATCACGTAAAGATGAATCCATTATCACTAAAAAATAATCCTTTATAAATCAAGCTATTTTAAGGGTTTATGAAATTGAAGATCCCCCCCCCCTTTTTTTTTTTGAATCTGAATTAGCTTTATTAAAATTAAAAAAAAAAAAAAAAAAAAAAAAAAAAAAAAAAAAAGAGAGAGAGAGAAAGGTTTTGAACAAATTTTAATTTCCAACCCATGAATTTAGGATACACTTTTAAAGCCTATTAGATACTGCTTTTGCTTAAATGATTAAAATTTTCTTTCATAAAAATTACAGTTTATTATTTTACTTTTGAAGCTAATAACTTTTACAGCAAATGCCTCAATAGCAAGCTTTTTCGTACGAATCTCATGCTCGCAATACAAGAGCCCGCAATACTGACTCCCAGTGAATATTAAGTACTTTAATACTAAGCCCCAGAAAATTCAAATAAATATTTGATTTAGCTCTATGAAATAGTTCAAATTTGAAATATAAATCGATAGACAGTTTTGTGATATTCCGGAAGTTCAGCAAAAAGTTAAAAAGTATACTTTACGAATGATTAATGTCTCCATAAAATGGAAGTAAAAAATTTACATTATAAATTATAAAATACAGTGAGAAAAATCAAAACTATATACTAAAATTACTGTATGTTTGTTTTTAAAAATTTTGCCAGCAATTTTAATACGGTAAGTTTTCAGATTTACTTCTAAATTTTTCTGTTCTAAGTGTTTCCTTAGATTTAATACGTTTAAGTTCCATCTGTTAATAAGTAATACACTAATTTCCCAATCTAAGGTTTTTAAATGTAATTAGCAAGAAAATAAGATAACATATGAAATGAAATGAAAATCACTGTTCCTGTTAAACTGTTTTGTTTTTCCTTAAAATTAAAGTTTTTCTCATCATTGGTGGTTTTACAATAATAATTGGCAAATTTATACTTACAAGAAGTTCTTAAACTCTAAATCAGAAAGACGCCATTCAACTTCTTTTCTTTTCATATATATTAGTCCGCAATAACAAAAAATTCTCGAGTTAATAAATCTTTTATTTTTTTTGGGGGGGGGTAAGGGGAGAGGTCTCACTTAACACTTATTTATTTATTTATTTTTGAAAATTAACTGCAGGTTTGATAACTGTCGAGACAAATATATTTTTTGAAACAATGCCAAGCTTTTTAATCTGAAATGAATCGTACTTTTTTACTCTAGAAATGAAAACTTCCAAAATCACAGAATTCAGACCTGAATTAGGTAAAAGAGAAAAATCTTGATTTGTTGTTCGAAATACTTTAAAAAGACATGCTCTCAATCTATCAACTCTTCTTATGATACCAATCTCTCGCTCTCTTCCCTCCCATATGTGTGCTTATTTACAGAGCTGAAAATTTTCATTAGTCTAATTTATGGAGACATCTGGTCTAGACAGTAGTATTCTGTAGCACACAAATCTTTCCAGAATTGTTGCATTTAAAGTGACAACATAAGCTTCAAATAAATAGCCTAGTTCTTCAGACAAATTTCCTCATCTTCCTTGCTTCCTTGTTGTCGGTATTATAGGAAAGAAAACGACTGGGCTTCAAAAGCCTAGTTCAGAAAAAATTAACTCAGGATTCATCAGACTTCCAGAGGTTTAAAAATAAAGTGTTAACATGAAGAAAAAAGGGCACTGAAATTTCTAAATTTCTGTTAAATAATGTATTTTAAGAATGGATAAATGTAAAATTTATTCTGCCTTAAAACGTAAAAAGATAGAAATTAAGAATGAACTAAAGCCTCTTTTTTCTGAATTCACCAAGAAGAATAACATATAATAATACACAGAGTTTGCTACGTCTGGTGAAAACCTTCGTTAAAATGCCTTTTGTAATAGTTCTATACTATTAGATACAATAGCAATGAAATATTTAAGCACATGGTATTTAATTCCCATAAAAAGTTTATTTGTCAAGAAAAAGTAGTCTAACCCTGGGCAATTATGATTAGAAATAAACACTAACTTAACTAAATTTTAATTGTGGTTTGAATTATCTTTATATGTATATTTTTTATATTTATCGGTTTTATTTAAAAATATTTTAGGTTTAAAACATTACCTTTTCTTATGGTGGTTTATTTATTTTTTTTATTTTGAGGAAGTATCTTTGAATAAAAGCAAAAAGCCTGAATTTTTAAAAGATGTAACTTACTCTCATCACATTAAAAAAAAAAAAAAAGCACTCACTTAGCCTTATTATCTGATTAATCGTTTAGATTCTATCATATGATTAAAGCAGGGAAGCTTGATAATAAATAGCATGGTTAGCGAAGAATTCTTAATTCCTTAAATGCTAATATGCAGTAGCATAGCAAACATATTTGTATATATATCTCATATGTGTACTTTGCATATTTATTTTTAGAATCAGTTTGGTCTACGGCTTACTTTGTTATAACATGCATATTTTTCCCCATTTTTTTTCTGCAATAAATGTCTTCTCAGAAAAGGAATTCTTTTTAAACCATTAAATAATATTTCTACATATGTAAATCTAAAATATATTAAATAATAATGAAACTGCATATTAATCCTGAGCAAAAAATAAATGTCTTAATTATAACTAGTATGTGATCTTCTTAATTAATTTAAAATAAATTTCTAACTTAATGAAAAAGAAATATTAAATACTTTTCAGATTTCCAAGTTCTTGTACTCACAATCATTTTTGTAAAAAGGATAAAGATAACCTGATATTTTAAATTTTCTGAACATTTTTGACTTGTGAAATGAAGAAATTATACAATAAATCATGTTTTGAATTTAATAATAATTTTGATACGCGAAGATTTAGTTTCTTATGAAGATGAATTTCCTATCAATCTTTCTATCAAGAAGGGATTAGCATAAACATGTTTCAGTCCCTTGAAAGCCTGAATTTAGTCTCTCTTTAGATGCGTTCTAGACAGCCCTAATCTGCTTAATATATCATCTACTATCTAAATAGCAATCATACAACATGCTACAGGAGTATAATCACAACATTTCTAAATAAATACTCTTTCATCAATGTTCTCTATTACTAGTGTTGTTCCCACATAGTTACTATTACTACTTTATTATCAAACAGCTTATATTTAATAATAATACCTAATCTTTAGACACACAGAAAGAAAATTAGTAACAAAAATCAAGCATCAAAATATGATTAATAGCCATCTTTAAAGAAACCACCACCGTACTAATTCAACATTTTAAAATTTTAAGAAGATAAAACATATTATGAAAAGCTTTAAAATATTAAAATGATAATCTTTAATTAGTAGCTTTAGATATCAAAATACCTATTCCTAAAAAATTACAAGTACATAAAACAGAATTAAAATGATATACTAATTACTAGCGCGAATAACAAATTTTTAAAAAGTATACAATAATATACTTATTAGGTATTTATTAGTATTAGGTGATTGGCACCTACTTCTTAAAGATCTGTATCCAGCATGGAGCGAGTGTTCTGTCCATCCTGCATAAAATTTTATTTTATTAAGGCTTGATATATCTGGAAAATGTGATATAATCCAAAACAAGGAAAGCTAATAAAAATATAACACTAAAAAAATTTGATTACAATCTGCATAGCAATACATTTAAGTTTTCAGTTTCCTTCCATAAGCCACAATTCTAGAATTCCTAAGCTATATTATTCAATTTATAATTGCAGACGTATATACAACGTGCTTATAGAAAACAAAACAAACAGTTTTTCCATTTAAATATTTGGAATTGTTATAATGCAAAAAGGGAGAAAAATAAACAAATATGCAGGCTTAGTGAAATTTTATCAATTTACTTGTGATTTACTTGAATGTTTAAATTTACCATGCATGCACTGATTAAAAAAGAAACAAAATCAGATAAATACTCCCTCTTTTTGGATTTTAAAGTGCAGTATATAATTGCATACTAAAACACAAACAGAATTACATATTTGCATGCACAATACAAAGAATAAAACTGAAGTCACACAATAAAAAATAAAAAAAATAAGCTCTCTTTTATATTTAATAATCTGTACTCGCCTTTTGCATTCATATCTAACCACATTCCAAAATGGAACTGAATTTAAGGATATCTCTCCCATACTCATTTAGTTTTACTGACAGACATATTTTTGTGGTTTCCTCTAAAAACTCTTTTTCATGAAACAGTTCTTAAAGCTAAGTTTTTTGACAAGAAAATTCAATTTGTAAAAATGTATTTTAGCTGGAAAGGTAACAATCTTCATGCCATTCTTAATTAAGAAGTAACTTATTTCAATATTTTCTATTAAGCCTAGAAAGAAAATATTTAGTGCTTTTTGTATGTATTATGCTTTCATTACACATTTAGCGCTGAACTTTCATGCACTTTATACATAATCTATATTCTAACCAACTTTAAGGGGGAGAATTATAAAAAAAGGGAAAGAAAGAAAGAAAAATATTTGTTAACCCGAAAAACTAACAAAATGCATAATAGAAGTCATTTAAATATAAAGTAAACATCTCCCCAACAACCTTTCTATTTATTCCTTTCCTTAAAATTTAGCCAATATTAAAACAACCGAAGAGAAACCATTTGCATAAGAGGCACTATAATCTCTAACCTCCATAGATTATTACGGGCTGGCGGGACACCATAAATGGTTCTGAGGAGCCATTACCTGGAACAAGGCAGCTACAGGAGAGGCCTAAGTGGACACTTTATATACAACAACGCTTGCTTCAAAAGACGCTGATAGCTGGAGTTAAATTGAGCAGTTTCTATCCCCCTTAACAATATTTAAGCCATTTGCCTGATGCTTATGGTTCCCAAATGACTCCTCGGCCATGTTTGGGAAAACCTAACATCTTAAGCAGACTAGTTTCCGTATCAAAATTCCGTCAAGCAAACAAAGAACCTGCTGCTGTAATGGGAACAAGAGCAGGGAAATTGCTCGGATTAATTAAACCAAGATAACAGTGTTGCCATATAAAGGAAAATTTATGTGTTTTGCATTTTACTAGAAGAGAAGAGGAATGTCTGAACCTAGGTTACAGAGAGCAACAGTTCTAACATTATTCCACAAATAAATCAATTTCAGATGATTTTGTCTCTATTGCTTTTTATCTAAAATTATTCAGAAGCTCTTACAAACAAATTTATCTGCCAAATTAAACATATAATGCATTATTTCCTATGTAACTGTTAAAGAAATAGTTTAAATATTTTTCCCATTGTCACTTAAAATGATATTATCAAGATATTTTCTACATAATCAACTTCTTAATTTATGATATAAATTATATCAGTCTGATGTTTAGCAGTAAAATGAAGAGCATGCTCTGACTAAATAGTACTTCATTCTACTTGAGAAATTTTCATGTCCAGTTTTCACACAATGAGATAAATTTCCTCTTTTCACGTAAAACTTTAAACATGCTCTAAAAGTATAATTAATTTCAACTAAAATCCTGTATTCATATTAAATAAAGAGAATTTATGATTAAAACTTTCTCAAATTATCATTTTTATTTATAATATATGCATTATTAGTTATTATTTGAGAGCAACACACATTTTCTAAATTATGCTATTATGTTTGATAAATTATAATAAAAAAATCTAGCAAATTGTTATAAACTTAGTCATCATTTTACTATTTTTCCTGCATTTTTTAAAACCGGTCAAAAGTATATGAACCATATGAATTGAAATCATCTCTCTGTGTGCTTTAAAATCAGAATTTTTCTGTTATAATTCTCGTTTAGCTTATTTGTAATTTCCATCCATCATTCATTGTTATTATCAGTCGTTATTCACTTGAGAACAAGCACACGTTTTCTAAATTTACTAGTCTGTTAAGTGAATTCTAACCAACAATTGCATATACTACATATCAGTAGAAATCATCTTATTGTGCCCTTTAAAATCATAATTTTTCAATCCATCATTCACTGACCAAAGAAAAAATATATAATTTGTGTTAATAATGCTCTGGTTCAACATTTGCTGCAAACCATTATAATTGTACATAACATATTGTTTTATGTGATTTACAAGAAGTAGAAATAAACTGCTTTGGCAGTTTCAGCATTCTCCTGTTTCTCATGGAAGGTTTAAAACCGGTCACATATATACATAATGCATACTGCAATACATTAAATTGCCCTGTTTACAACATGTGCTTATCTAACACTTTATAATGACAGAAATTTAGCTTTCATATATAATAGTATCTCATAAATTATAATTAATTATTCTGACAGTCTATAAGGACTTAAACATTGCTCGTAAATTAAGTTTCAAACAATTAAAAAAAAAAAAAAAAAAAAAAAAGCATTTGTTATTGTAAAATTCATCGATATTTGCTTACTGTATAGTACATCTTAAATTTTTAATTCCCTTCCCTAAGGTGCTAAATATTTTCTTTCTTAATACTTTTTGCTTCTCGATATTTTATTTATGTTTCTGTTCCAGTTCCAGTTCCAACAGTTTTATGCAACAGTTTTAAGTTGATGCTTCTCAGAGGATTCCACTTCCAACATTTTTCAATCATTTCACTTTATGGGATTGTTTTGCTTAACATCTCTTTTATTGTATAGCTCACTCTTTGATTATAAACATCTTGCTATGATTACTTTATATCTTGCTCTTTCCTTAAAAACATCTACTATGAATTCAGTTTTTTCCCAGAAAGAAAATCTAATCTTGAAAACAATTTTTCAGATTACTCTATATTTAAAGTCTGCTTTGTGTTCTGTTTATAAAAGGCACAGAATATGTGAGTAAATATTTTTTAATGCAGTAGGAGACTCATATTATTTCCTCTAAACCGCAGCAACCTTGACCTATAAAACATCATCCATGAAAACAAAACATTAAACATCAGGAATGTATTATGAATAATGCATGACTTGTGATCCTTTAATTTTCCTGCCTCTTAAAAAAAAAAGAATTAAAAGAAAAATTAGATGATGCTTAAAGTCTATATAAATATAATATTTGCCTTGTTAAGGTTTCAGAGTAAATTTCGTTTTCATTAGTAATAAATATTAGAGGCACTCTGCAAGAAAACACCAATAATTTAAAATAATTCCTTATAATGTGAAATATAATCTCGTGGCCATAGATGCTAAATTTTATCTAACTAATGAAAAACATGAAAGGCCAATTAAATTTGTTTAACTGTTTCTTGCATTTTTATTTTGTTTTGTGACTTTTAAAGTCTCTGACGGGGATAAGAAAAATTCGTAACAAATTTAGTGTATTTGAAATGTCTCCTACAACACAAGTACAATTAAACAGAGCTCGTTTCTGGCATGTGTAAAAAGAAGTGGATAAGAAACCTATGTTCATTTTTATATTGCACTTCATAAGACTAGAAATCACATTTGATCTTAGACTGAAATCAAACTATAACCATTCAAAACAGAATCGCTTTGCACGTAAGTGACGCCAGCCTCATTTTTCTAACACAGAACAACCTTAGCTACATTTTTACGAGTTTGTTGTTATAATCTCGTCTTACCGCACCCCATCGTTTCTGTCGCGGCGACAGTAAATTACACGATACCGCTCGAAAGCTACGCCAGTCGATAGTTAGGCCTAAGGCGAAAAAGCGACGCTACAAAAGGCGAGTACAATAATGAAATGCTATAATCAGCTTACCCGCTATGGTCATCCAGGGGTAACGGGGAACGTCTGGTATGGGGTCCAGTTGCCTGTAGCCCAGCTGGGAGCAAGGGCTAAGGGAGGAGGCAAGGTCGGTAGCAGGATGGGGCAAAAATTGTGCCGGGGCCATCATTGCTTGAGCTGCGGCCGTCGAGCTCGAGACGCCGCAGTTTTGTAGGTTAAAGGCATAACCCGTGCTTGAAATGTCTATACCATTACTCTGGCCTGTGGAGTTATACCTGCACGATTTGGCCAGATCCGAATTCGAAGTGTAGTACAGGGTGCCGGAGACTGCGACGGAAGACTGCGGTGACAGCGATCCGTAAGGATACATCCTATGTTGGGGGTGATGGCCGTAGCTTTGCAGGGCAGCGGCGGACGAGACGGCATCACTGGCATACTTGCTACCCAGAAACGAGTCCATGAAAGAATTCGAGCTCATTTTTACTTCATGATGGCTGTCAAAAATAGATAATTCTCTTCTCCGATGGACACTAGTGAATAGGGTTCTTCAGTGTAATGGAAGCTACTTGCACATCAGCTGCTGAAACCGCGTAAACAACGCAACGCCAATCACGAAGCCTACGTTAGGAACCAGCCAATGACTTGTCGTTTCCGCCACCACACTGAGAATGCTCACTCTGCCTCCGCTCTTCCCGGCTCGGTCTCCTCGTTCGTTCTCTTTCGCTCCATCTTTCACTCGCTTTGCCTTTGCTTTGCTACTTCCTCCCCCCCTCCAGTTTTGTTTTGTTTAACGGGCTCCTAAGACAACTGCAGACTATATTATAAATTACCACGGCTCCCTCCCTCCGCAGGATGTTATCGAAATGGGAGCTTTTTTTTATTATTTATTTTTATTTCTGTTTCCCACAATTCCTTTCTACGAAACTAGAAATTTTTCGAGCTCCATTTCGCTTATAAAGCCAGTAAGCAGATATGGAAATCTTGATTTTTATCCTACTTATTAAAAACACGAATCATTTTTCCCCCTATCAGTCTCGTTGTTTTCTAAATAATGCAAATTTGTAAGTCTGAATAAAACCGGAAAGGTTAACTAACTATTGATTGGTAAGATAATCTTACCAATAATTATCTTACCTTAAAATATTAAGTAAGAAAGAATTTAAGTTCACATAACAAGTAGTTATACTTAAAATGATACGAACACTGAAAAATTAAACATTTTTATCTTAAATATGTGCTAAAATTTTTATTAAATCATTGAAAATCATAGTTTGCTATCTTTCATAACGATTCAGTCAATTAATAAGAAATATGAACCCATTTAGAATAATAATTAAAACTTTTAAACAAATTCTGCATCGTAAATAATTTTCAAAATTTTAATGTAAAATATAATTTAGAAAAAGTGAAGATTCAGAAACAGTTTAATTTATTTAACTTTAAATTAAAAGTACGATTCTAAAAAACAAGGAAAATTCAGAAATTTTGTAGTGGGATTTAGTGCATTAATATGCACTTTAATGGGAAATTCCAGATGTTAAAACGTCATCATTTGTAAATGATTTCAAAAGAGAAATAAACAGAATTTAATAAATAAATTATTAATTAAAAAGTAAATAAGTATAATGAAAATAATTAATTAATTAATAATTCAAAAGAAAAAAATTATGCATAATTAAAAGCAGAACCTTACTACAGTGTATAGCAATGCATTATTTAAATCGGCTGTTCCTATATATATATCTGACATATCAAAATAATGCAATGAAAAATATATTTGAATGACAAGAGTGCCCACATAAAACCTTAAAAGATGAACTTAAATTCTCTTCCTATAATCTTCATTTAAAATCAACACTGATTAACAATCTTTATTCAAAATTATCGAATTTCTCTAATTTAAATTTTCTTGAACTCTGTTTACATGCATTTGTAAGCCCCCCCAAAAACTTATTATTAATTAATTTGCAGCTAGAAGCTCTTAAAGTAAACATATTATTAGCATAAAAGAAATACAGCCCATGATATTCATTATGTTTTACAAGTGGTGGTATTTAATTATCTTTACAGTAAAATAGTTTTACTGTTATTGAAATGCAATACATTTCGGCTTAATTAAACATAAAAATAAGCAAATAAAAAACGAATAGTTAAATATTATAGGAGGGAATAGTATGTGACTTTATACTGCGAAAGGTTTTACTTCTCAGAATTTTGCTTCTAATCACTAAATTAAAATTGCAGTTACATGATAATTTGGAAAACTAATTTATAAAGCAATTAAATCAAGAAGATCCACAGTTGAGCCATATGAAGAAATACTTGTAACTTGTTTTGCTTCACAACAGTAACGCACACACTTTCTCTATATTGACTATTGAGTTTATATATATATATGTATATATATATATAGCCCACCAGCGGCCGAGCGGTAAAGTCGTTGAACACTGGTAGTTCGGTCCGAGGTTCGAATCCCGCGAACGGGCTGGCTGCATGGGTGTTTTCGTGGTTTTCCCCATGTGTAACGTGTATACGAGCCAGTTTCCCTTAGAAAGTCCTCCACGAAAGGCATCCCTCCCCTTTGGCAGATAGCCCTAGTGTGCTTTGCCGTAAAAAAATACACCACCATACACGTATATATATATATATATACTAATTTCATTTATATTTTGACATATATAGTTATTAAGAAGAAAAATTACCTCCAAGAAAGAGAAAGAAAAAAAAATTAATCCAAAATTTTGGTGATGTAATTTTTTTTTTTTTTTTTTTATTGTTAAATTCACAGACAAAGGAAAACGCATGTGAAAAACGTAAAAATCAAATTAAACTGTAAAAGGCCTAAAAATTCAATAATTTTCATTGACTAAATTAAAAGGTAAGGATGATGTGTCATTAAAACATATATATATATAACACAATATAAATAAAATTAATTAACTGATTTTTAAATTATTGACAGGGAGAAGAGAGTCAACTACTTTTCTGAAGCTTCACAAACGAGATAAATGTTAATTAAAATAAAATCCCCTCACCTATGACAATAAAACAAATAATTTTTGTAGGTTGACGTGTATATTTGTTTCAAGAATGTGTACACTTTTTCTTCTGATTACATTTGTGGCTTCTGTGAAAGAATATTATAGTTAGTTGTTTTATTTTAAATGTTCGGGAAGCTGTTGTTAGATAGTTTCTTGACGAAATGCACACAGATTAACACATAGTTTTTAAAGTGTATGGAGAGCTTACATACTATTTTCCTATCATTTATTACATTTAAAATTGCATTCGATTTATATAATAATTAAGAATGCTCCACTGAATATGTAACTGATAAAATATAATATATTTAACCTTTTTTAATCAATGCAATTTCATAGCTGATAATATTTAAAATCGGGATTAAAATTACAAACTTGTCTATTGTTAATGTAATGAAACAACAGATTATGTATGCTGCTGGATTTACACGAAGGTAAGTAATTTGTTGGGGCAGAAAGCTTGTGAGCTATCTGTCAGATGAGGTTATGCCTCCGTTGAGGGGTTCCTAAATGAAACTGACTCGTATTCAAAATAAGCAGGAAAGAAAACCTCTTGCGGCCTCTAGGAATGGAATGTTGTACAAATTAGTTCAGCAGAATTATCAACTCTATCTCTTACTCTAAGTTAATAGGAGATATTCAAAAATAAATAAAAGGAATAAAAATGACTGCAAGTGCTAAAACAGCACTCGATAAGTAAGCCAAAAACTGAAAAATGTCCAGGTACTTTAAGGTTCAAGGAAAGAAGGTAACACGCTACATGAAACATCGGTTTTATGGTGCAATAAAAATGTAAATAACATTAAACCAGAATGGTAGCAGTTTAAGTAAAACTGAAAAATCAGAAATTAATTTCATTTAGATAGTTAACTAATTACACAAATATAATTCCAAGCAACACTAAAATTTTAGAAGTTTTCTACACATTTATTGAAAAACAAAATTTTAGTCCACTAATTGTTTTCTGAGTGTTATATTTGAAATTTAAACCTTCATACATATATAATGATTAAAAAATAGAGCATCAGTCCAAGTGTTTTCAGAGAGGTAGATAATTTTACTTCTTGTTCTGTTGTGCGTTTGAGATATTTACTGAATTTTATGTTAACGTGATTTAAATTTATGTTCGCCTTTGAGGACGATGTACTTAGCTAGCAAAATCTAAGTCAAAAATATATTCCAGATTTTATCGTTAATTTTGATGGTTCTTGCTGCTAAGAATTCAGTTCGCAATATGTTTCCATGCAGCTCATTTTACTAAATGTATCACAATAGTTTCACTTACATTATTAGTCATATGCTTAATTTTTTGTATTGAGTATAAAACTATAACTTTCTCTGTTTCTTTTCACAAACAGAATTTTATATTTTATTTAATGCAATTCTATTCTCTCACTCCATATGCTATTTCATGCACACGTAAAAATAATTACGTTCAGCAATAAAAAGTAAATAAATTTAGTTTAAATTTTATCTAAATGGTTAAAAAAATCCTTTTACAAAGATCAACGGAATACTATTCTTTGAATATGGAAACACCCCGATAAATGTCTTAGGAAAAAATCAGCTGTCCTGGAGTAGCTTTGTTAATGTGAGAACCTAAGAAATCATTCTGCAGAAATAAATTATTTGTCAATAATGCAAAGAATTTTCCATCGTGTTTTCGATTCTGCTTAAAGTTCAACATCTGCGAATCTAAATTCCAAGCCAGTGAAGTGTATTGCATAAAAACTACATAATTAGCAAGATATCGGGGGGGGGGAACTGACAAATTTAGAAATATCGTGAAATTCGTGTATTTAATTTAGAAATATCGTATTTTTTAAACAGCAAAATGCATGGAAATAGCACCATTTAATGAATAAAATAAATAAATAAATAAATAAAAACGAAAACTTTAGTTAAATTAGATAACTAACTCTAATTTGTTCATCTTATAACAATGTGAATGTTTACAGTTTTAATTGCCAAATTTCAAAAGATAAAATACTAACGAAATTTTACTTAAATTGTAAAGCTCTCTACAAGACTAGTTGAACTATAACGCTCATATAGTTAAAATCAGTAAAGAAAACACTTAGAATAGGATTTCTATGAACTCATATTATAACAATTTCGCACTTAGATCGTAGGATTAAGTTACAACTTTAGGATCCATTTAAAAAATTATATTTCGGCTATGAAAATGATTCATTATTAAATTATTCTGAGGCATTCACCTGGTTCTGTAGCATCCACCTATTTCGAAAAACTATTTAAAATTGTTCGTTAAAGGATATACCTTTGACACTGAATTAATGCCTATTTTGGGATATAAAATACGACAAAATTTCCGTAAGATTGAAGTTTAAGCTTCTTAAATTGAATTTTAAAAAATTCTAATAATTAGTAGTAATAAAAGGGATCTTTAAAATCGATGAATACAAACTAAAGCAGAGCAAACAAATATTGATAACGTGAATGAATTCGAAACACACAGAATAAGATTTAGAAAAATAAATTAAATTAACAAATAAATAGTCAATATGATATTAAAACACGACAAAATTTCCGTAAGATTGAAGTTTAAGCTTCTTAAATTGAATTTTAAAAAATTCTAATAATTAGTAGTAATAAAAGGGATTTTTAAAATCGATGAATACAAACTA